GCGCCGCCGCGCCGCGAGCCCGGCGACGCGTCGCGCGAGCCGCCGCGCCGGCCGTCGCCGGAGCCCGGCGACGCGTCGCGGCTCGCCGGCGGCCGCCGCGGCGCGTCGCCCTCGTAGTCGGAGTCGTCGGTCCCGGCGCCGAGCGCCTCGGCCTCCTGCTCGCGCGCCTCGGCCACGGACCGGCGGCGCCGCGCGGCGACGGCCGGCGACGCGTCGCGGAGCGCGCGCGCGTGCGCGTCCAAGGCGACGCGGATCGCGTTGCCCCAGAATTTGCGCTCGGGCTCGGAAGATGCGCAGAAGCACCGCGCGGGCGCCGTCGCGTGCACGGCGTCGAAGTAGAAGCCCCGGGGCGCGTCGCTGCCGTCGTAGGCGCGGTCCTCGACGCGGCAGCCGTCGAGGACGACAGCGCCGAGGGGCCTCCGGGCCGCGCCCGGCGCGGGCGGGTCGCGGAAGTACTCGAGCGACGGCCCCGCGGGCCCGTCGACGAGCTCGACGAAGCGGCGCCGCCAGGTGCGCCGGCCGAAGACGCCGCGGCCCGAGCCCTTCTTCAGGAGCCAGCCGCTCATCGTCGCCGCGAGCGGCGGCTTGTCGTCCCGGAGCTGCGCCGGCGGGTCCTCGTAGCGCCGGGCGACGGCCTCGGCGGCGCGGCGGCGCAGGTCGTCGGCGCCGCCGGGCGCGGGCGCGTCGTCGTCGGCGCCGCCGGGCGCCGGCGCGTCGTCGACGGGTCGGTCCCAGCGCGTCTCGTGCGTGGCCTCGTGGTAGTAGTAGACGTCGCCGCCGGGCGCGGCCGCGCGCCGCCAGCCGTCGGGGAGCTTCGGCGGCGGCGGCCCCGCGGCGGCGACCTCCGGCGGCGGGAAGCGCACGGCCTTGGGGCTCTTGCTCCGGCGCCGGCTCTCCCGGGCGACGCCGTCGATCTTCTCGGTCAGGCTCCCGAGCTCGTCGCGCAGCTCCTCGAAGCCCGGGTCCCGGCGCCGGCTCTCGCGCGCGACGCCGTCGACCTTCTGGCCGAGGCTGCCGAGCTCCGCGCGCAGCTCCTCGAGGCCCGCGTCGTGCCGCCGGGGCGCCGCGGAGTCCGCGAGCGCCTTCACCGTCGACGCGAGCCCCGCGAGCTCCTCGCGGACGGCGTCGCGGACGCCGCCCTCGGACCCCCGCGACGACCGCAGCAGCGACACCTCGTCCCGCAGGTGCTTGAGCTCGTCGCCCGCGTCGCGCGACCGCAGCGTCGCGACCTCGTCGCGGAGCTGCTTGAGCTCCGCGTCGCGGCGCGCGTCCTCGGCCGCGCGCGCCGCGTCGTCGGCCGTCCGCGGCGGCGACGCGGCGACGGCGTCGAGCACCGCGCGGCGCATGTCCTGGAGCTCGCCCCGGAGGTCGCCGTCCCGCTGCGGCGACGCCGTCTGCTGCCGCTCCCGGAGCCGCGCGAGCTCGCGCTCGAGGCCCTCCGTGCGGCGGCGGATCTCGTCCTCGAGCGTCCGCCGCAGCGACTCGTCGTCGCTCCGCGACCGCTCCTCGACGGCGCGCCGGAGCCGCTCGTCGTCGTTTGCCGACTTGGACGCGAGGTCCGCGACGCGCGCCGACAGCGTCTCGACGGCGGCCTCGAGCGCGGCCTTGTCGCGCTCGCGGCTCGCGAGCGCCGCGAGCGCCTCCGTCGCGCGCGCGGCCCGCGCGGGCGCGTCCGCGTCGCCCGTCGCCGAGTCCGCGCCGGGCGACTCGTGGCTCAGGCGCGCCCGCGCGGGCGACGCGGCGCGCGGCGTCCGCGGCGGCGCCGGCGACGCGCCGCCGCGCCGCGAGCCCGGCGACGCGTCGCGCGAGCCGCCGCGCCGGCCGTCGCCGGAGCCCGGCGACGCGTCGCGGCTCGCCGGCGGCCGCCGCGGCGCGTCGCCCTCGTCGTCGGAGTCGTCGGTCCCGGCGCCGAGCGCCTCGGCCTCCTGCTCGCGCGCCTCGGCCACGGACCGGCGGCGCCGCGCGGCGACGGCCGGCGACGCGTCGCGGAGCGCGCGCGCGT